CCCCAGATTTAAGCTGGCAAGACATACCTTCGATCTCATCCCTGATTTTATTCCTATTCTAATTTAGGTAGACATGATCTGTCTTTGGAAACAGATCTCTCCAAAGAGACCTAACCCTCACCACTGACTCTGTGAGGGATACAGGCACTTAAAGAGCTGCTTCACCAGCATCTAAAATCTAGATGGACCTAAAACTTTGCAATCTAGATTCTGCACTAGACATACAATTCCCTCACAATATCAAAGCTAAACTGGACATATCAATTTTTGAAGGCAACTCTTAGAGAAAATACAAACTGTTTAAACTCAGAAGGGCAAGTTTGGGATGGGATTCATTTCACCCAACTTACACACTTACATCTAAGCCTCTTTATAGACACTGGAAAGAAGACCTTAAGGTAAATGACTCATCACATCCTGAGCAGAGCTCTGCTTTATGATGAGACCTGCTACATCCTAACCCTAGAGGGCTTCTCTCCCACCAACTGGAGAGATGACATTACCCCCACCACTAACAGGGCGTCCACACACAGGGACACCCTCACTGCATTCAGCGGGACTCTAGCTTCAGCAGGCGACTGCGCTTCAGGAGCTACCAGCATCCGCTTCTGCTGGCTTCGGGTTAAGCAGGTTCCTCTCGTCTTGCCCACACCCTCAGAAGTACGGGTGCTGGACTGGCCCCTGGCACTTTCACTGCAAGCTGCCATCAGCCAGAGGCAATTTTTCTTTATGTACAGTCATAAGCGCAGTTATCTGTAGAAGGGCACTCGGACCCCACACAAGACAGCCCACCCAACCTTGGTGGAAGTCATGTCCACCAAGTACAGGCCTAAGTTTAAATGCATTCCTTCCCACAATATCACACCAGAATCAACCACTTGTACCAGAGCCATATGTAGGCAGTGCAATATTGCTTCACCATTTTATGCCTGACTTTTGCACTAAGAGGTACACCCAAACTACAGCTTGCAGCGTATTCCTAATGTCATCAGCACTAAGCATCACCTGTAGTTTTCACAGCAATCTCACCTCTGGTCCTGCACACATTACAGCCGACTGCTTTGTGCAACTAGCCAACACTGCACAGATACAGACTCTGTAGAGCAGACAGTCTGAGCAAGGGGACAGATCTAAGAGGGCAGAAGCAGCCAGATGTGAGACCTGATCTCAGTTCCATTAGCCTAAATCCCAAAGAAGCCTAGCTGTTTAAATAGACTTTCTGTAGGATTTACCCCAGTATAACTAAGGCGTAAGTCTGGACCTGTATTTGTCAGATTTTCCACTTGTGTGTAATTAAAAATCTGCATTACTGCCTCCTTAACACTGGTTATAAAATTGAGCTGTATTCAGCTTTTAAAAAGACTGATGTACAGACTTTTAGAAAACAGTGAGATATTGAGAGAGATCATTTATATCCACCAAGATTACTCAACTGATTACCCTGGTTACAGGAATTCCGCAAGGAATACTTGATGAAAGTTTATCCTGATGAAGGCTGCTTTGATTAAAACCATTATTCTTCCCCGATTCATGGCACTCTCCTAAACCACAGCCTGCAGGCACTGCAAACCCACAGTGCGGCACAGGCAAGCCCTGCTCCATCAATCTTCACCGTACCACCTACTCCTTCTCTCCTTTGCCATTGAAGGCATCATCGCTACAATGACAAAAACCACATTTATTAGCACCAACACGTAATTAAAGACCAGAGGATCCAAAATGTTATAGTTCACTCAGGTTCACAAAATCACGGGAGTGGTTTGGTAACAAAGAGAGTGTTCTGGGGACGGAACCCCACTGCCTGCCGCAGCCCCTCCACCTAACTGCAAAAGCAAAGCCACTGCTGATGAGATGCAGGAGGAAAAGCAGTGCCTCACAACGGGGTCCCACAGGGCTTCGGAGATGGCACTTCTTTTAAGCTGCACCCAGAAGCAGCCTGGCAAGCACGCTGGTGGTGGGGCACCATGCTGCTGCCTGTGGCACCTAGGAAAGACCTTTTCCCAACAGCCCGAGGAGGGCCAAAGGGTGGGGATTCGGGCCAAGAAGGGGACAGCCAGAGGCATTGGCCAAAGCAGAAGGCCTGGGTCATGACCGGCCCCTCCCAGAGCTCAGCTCAACCCCCAGCAGCTCCGCCCCAGCAGCCTGAACAGGCAGAGAGGGTGAGGGAGCAGAGGGACCCCTGCAGGGACACGCTGTGGAAGGGTGATGTCCTGCGTCAAAGCCTCTTCCCTCTACAGCTTTTCTCCTCTTCCCCACAGGCAAGGCACCCAGCTTTATCCGCCCTGTGACAACGACCGCCACCGACGGGGGCCCGTACCCCCACGAAACACATGCCCCTCCCTGCACGCACCCCTCCAGCCCTTACCCCTCCGTGGCTGGGGCAGTTTGGAGTCACGTTTGTCCCCAGGTGTCCCCGTCAGCACACGTGCAGGCAGCGGGTAGCCCAAACCACACAAAAAGCCCGTTCCAAGCCTGAGATCCGCATAAACCACAGCACCAAGCGCCAGCCATTCCCAACCGTCAGGACCTGCCCTCATCCGCACGCCTGCAAAGATCTTTTATGGGCAAGATCCAGCAAGCACGGTAGCATCACCCAACCCCCCCAAACCTGGATTTTAGCAAGTACAAAAGGCTCTCCTTCACAGGCAGGAGTGGCAGGAATCATCACCAGCAGGTTTAGGCTACAAAAACCTTTTTAGGAACAAATAGAAGGTGCTTGGGATCTCATTTCTAATAAAAATACTTCGGAAGCAGACAGCAAGATGAGGCGGAGTGCAGTAAACTTATCTTTAGCCCAAAGTGAATTGATAGCAGGGACACAAATTGACAGACTGTACAGTAAATACCTGGCTCAGCAGGGCTCGGGGCTCGACTCTGGCTTTTTATCTGACAGCAAACCCCTGCACCTGACCTCATACAGTGGGGGTGGCAAGCACAGCAGACCGTCGAGCAATCCTTATCTGCCAAGTGGCTTGCTGGCACTATACTCTGACATAGCACCACCGTATCCTTTCAAAGCCACCTATATTTGCACAGGTTTTTAATCACAGGAAGGTATTTAACCTAGAAGTGAGGCAAAGACAGGGTCATGCCCTTCTCACAGAGGGCATGACATGCAGCTGACATGCAGCGGAGCAGGCGTGCAAGCAGCCCTCTGCTGCAGGGCTCCAGTGCCATTCCTTGCCCCAAGGCAAGCTTAGAAATTTCCAGTCATTCTGCTTTTGTTTACAGGACATATATATTTGACAGTCTTGTAGATGTTAGCCTTTTTTTCTCCTTCCTTTGTTTTAAATATACATTTATTCAAGACTCCCAAGTGCCCCCAGCTGCAGCCCAGGAGCTATTTATGCATGCACAATGTATTTAGCCTGCTGACCCAGAAGAAACAGCCAGGTGTGCTGCTGTCCTGCCGTATCACCCCAAAATAGCCAGGCATGCCACCACCCCACCCCGCTGTGGCAGTGCTCCCCACTGCCAGCCCCCTCTCCTGCTCCAAATGTGGGCTGGTTCCTCAGCAAACCTCCCACCTTGATCTGTTCACCCCTTGCTACCCACTGGAGGTTAGCAGTAAATAACCAGCAGTCTCTTTACTATCCTGTGCTTCAAAATACTTCAGGAACACACAGCATTCCTGATGCCTTCAGCTGCCTTCGGAGAGGGAGGCTCCCCAGGAAGATCAGACCGGTGGCTCCTGCAAGCAGCTGGAGGAGGTACTGACGTTCAAAGAGACTTCTCAGCCCAGTGACTGCATGTCCATAAAGGCTTCCAGTGCTCTGCATGCTGACGGACACTAGCAAAGCCACAGAGCCTTAACCATGCCAGCTCTCCTGGTCACGCTGCTAGAGATGCTTTATCTGAGGCAGCCAGAGGCCCGCTGAAATAAAAGAGCAGGAGTTTCCCTATGTTCCACCATTTCCTTACCATGCCAGGATAGCCAACAAGCCAGATGACCCAGCAGTGGTTACAGAACTACCATCTGCCTTGGGCAGGCCCCAATAAACTGGTAAAACCACTATCCATATGAAAACCTCTTCCAGTTCAAAGTAGCATTTGCCTGCTGCAAACACCACAGTGTAAAGAGGGAAGCTAGCAAAACCTCCCACACCTCTCCCCACCAGCAGTGTTTGCCAGGCTAAGATGATCATGAGGTTACCAAGCACTGGCGTAAGCAAGCTGCACTGCACTACAGAACTGCTTGAACACTCAGTAACTCCACGGGACAAAAAATGGTAACACAGCAGAGAGATGAAATGTTATTAGCAAGCCCTTGTCATAGCCTACGGGAATATAAGGCAAAGCTCCACCTAGATACATCTCCAAAAAACAGCTGATTGTGACTGAAATACAAATGACCGCAACAGATGCGAATCAGAGATGGAGGTAATTCATTAATTGGAAGTGCAATTAATTGAGAGTCACAATTAACTGCGGCTCAGGAAGGTATTTAGGCAAATGGTTAAGTATTGTCCTCAGTAAAGATGCTTTTCTAAAGGAGAGCCAAAGGGCATCCCCGCAGAGCACCGCCAACCTTTGCACCTACCAGAGGGGAACGGCAAAGCACCGCAGGGAGAGCCCGCGCCACCACCCACGTCTGCATCCCCAGCTTGGGAAGGGTGCACAGAAAGCCACGCATATCTCAAACACTAAAGGTTTTTTTTTTTTTCCCCTTACCTGAGCTGTATCTGCTGCGCAAACAAAACATCCTGAATTGATCTGACGAAAACTTCTTCAGGAAATCCTATACTCCACAAAAAGACAGCTTTAGCATTATATCAAACAATTTCTTCAGGAGTTGTTAGTTTGCCTGAAATATGCTGTGAAACTAGTGCATGGGGGGCGGAACATGACAAATAACCCACCTTTGTAGTTTAAGATGTAAATATAAGCCATTAAGTACTTTGTAATTATGATCAAACATACACTGTATAAAGACCTTTGCAAAAACACAAACTGAAATTACCACACTAAGATTGGGATACAATCATGCAGGAAAGGATAGCTTTCAGGACGTTCCTGAGTTTTGCCAACTTCATGAAAAAAGAAAGATTTCTTGAAAAAGAGAATAAGTGTACTACTTCTGCAGAACTAGAACGTGAAGGAAAATACGGAATGAACAAAAATAAATTCTAGCAATGCCAAAAAAAGTTATATGTGTTAATTATGAAACCTCATTAATTTCACCCTAATATTTATCTAGCTTTACAAATAATTCACTATAGTAAATTATTACTATTACTGCTAGTGTAATTAATTTATACTAATAGTAAAAAGAACTATTTGAATGCTTGGAAGATACACTGATAAAACATTCAATCACTCCCAACTCTGCTCTCAGCAAGGCTGGACACCATGGCAGATTGACTGTGAACACTGCATTCCTGGGGTTTTTTTGTTTTTTTTGGGGGGGTTTTTTTGGTTTTGTTTTTTTTTTTTTAATTTGCAAATTGGTGACTGTAAGCTTGTAACACTGAAGTGCCACCGAGATAGAAAAATTATAAGGAGAAGTACATACACGTGAGAGAATATGGAAAGTGTCACTTGCTTAAAGATGCACGTTTTTAATTTAGCTTCTGTTACCAGACTAAACCAGCCTGAATACTAAATGTAGCCAAGTGTCAGCAATGTGCCATCTCTCAAGTGAAAATAGAAATAACTGAGGCAACCGGGGCAAGCTAAATCAAGAAACAGACAGCGATGCTAACTGTTTGTTTTGGTAGGTGTCTTTTTTAAAAATAAACTCTATATAACTGAGTGTACCCAATGTGCCCAGAAGCTTTAGACTGATACAGAGGTAGAATAATATGAGTAAAGAAGAGAAATAAGTTTGAATTTGGGAAAGGACCACCCAAACTGGAAAAAACAATTCTGCATTGCATTAAAAATGGAGCACAGCAAAAAGTATCGCTGCTCTTTCCAAGCAGGTTGCTTGACCGTGCGTTATCATAACATGCTTGATTTTGGGGGTGAGAATTAATAGCTATTAAAAAAAGGGGAAAAAAAAAAAAATCAAAAGAAAGGGACAAGGGGGAGGAAAGATGGAGCCGCTGGATGCCGAGGACGCAGGGTGGCCATGCCCAGGCGATGGGCTGGAAGGCAGATGGCTGCCGGCAGGAGCAGGGGAATGCTGCAGGCACCCTCCCGGACAGCCCTCCCCTCTTTCAGGGCAGGCTTAAGAACTTCCACGTAGGCCTTAACTTTCCAGATGCAGGAAGGCTGTACGGGAAGAAAATTTGTTTCATTGGACTGAAAAATCACTTATAGGGAAGGGTTAATAGTTGTTAGCTGAGTCTAAGGGCAGAAATTAAAAACGGAGACCTGCAAGGGAACAGAGACCAGCCTCAAGTTTTTGTTTTCTTGACACAAAGAAGCCCCACCACAGAGGTGGGGGGAAACGTTTCTGTATGATACTTTTAACTGCATCCATTGCATTTGTGGGCATTTCTCCACCCTGTCCACAATGTCTGCTGAGACTTGGGAAAGTTCTGTGAAAATTGTGAGCAACGGGTAATTTTCCTGGGGGAAACAGGGCTTAACCGTACCCAGACAACATCAGAGGGCATTAAGAATAAAGCAGCTCATACTGAACTCCTTTTTAAAGGGATTTTAATTAAGTCTTCCGAGAGGGCAAAGGGGAACCTATGTGCTGAAATAGCCTCTCAAGCTTTGTCTAAAGGAAGGAAACTACCTACTTCTAGCAGTAGGTGTCAGCCATCACGGGAGCCGCCCTAGCGCCAAGCGCAGCTGTGTGGCACGTGGCAGAGAAACCCTGCTCCGGCCTACACCAAAAACGCTGGGACACAGCAAAACAGGACGTATTCGCCTGGCTCGTGGGTACCAAAAGACAAATCAGCAAGGCGACAGTGGAAAAATAACAGAGAATACGAGAGACTGCCGGCATGGCGCGGTTGCAGGACAGCTAGTAGCTTCCTGACCAAATGCTGACACTATGTTCCATTTCACCTAAAGCAGAACAAGGAGCAACGGCCGCTCTTTTCCAAGTCCCAAAAGCATATGTGTTATTAAGAGCGGACAGACAAGAACCCATCACTATAGAATAGAATAACTTGGGCTGGAAAAGACCCCTGAGATTGTCAAGTCCGACCATAAACTTGTAACGCCTAAGTCTGGTATTGGGCACAAACGCTGCTCTGACAAACGCTCTCTGCTCAGCGAGATCCACGTTAAAAGCAAACCCCGAGTCCGAGCAGGTGTCCTACATCCAGATCCACGCTAACAGGTATACCAGCACTACCGAATCACCCCGCTTCGCATCTTTCGCTGCAGCGTAAGCACACAGTCCAGCATTTTCTCAAAAGAGGGCTGTGATCAATATTTACGTGTTACAAACATACATTGCTTTGATTCACAGAAATAGATTACCTTAATTGTTATGTAGTTTTTTAATGATTTGGACATTTTTTCTTGACTTCCTTTAACATGCAAATGCCCTAGAACAAAAAAAAAAATTAATCAGGATAAATGAGTGTGCTTCTGAATGGGAAGTGAATGAAAAAGACTGCACTGAGACACTGGAAATGCTGGAGGCAACGTTTGCTGTGATGGATATACACCAAACATTTCAATGCAACATGTAACATATTTTTCAATAGCTTTGCCCCCAGTCCTGCACATCTCTCCATCCTCAACTTTGGCTGGGTCAATTTTAAATCATAGGAAAAGAAAATGCATTGGGTTTTTTTTCTTTTTTTTTTTTTTTTAAACCAACCAAAACAATACCACTATGACCAGAGACATTAATAAAGTGGGAAAAAAGTCTCCCTGCTCAGAATTGATAATAAACTAATAAAAACAAGCAAGCAAGGAAATACTTTTCAATCTTCACAGAAAAGTACCTTACCTGTTACTCTTGACTTTCCAGAAATATTTTAAGACCTTTATAAAGATCTTCCAGTGATCTCACAGTATCTCAAACAATTTTCTGTATTTATTACTTGCTGGTGGCTGTGACACTTTTTTTTTAATCCAAAAGTTTATTGTGCTGGTTCAAAATACCTTGTGTAAAACGAATTTTCTACACATTCCCTATTTCTCCAGGACTTGGGCGACTGAGAAAGAGAAGGGGGAGGGAGGGCTGTAGCTACGATGCCCAATTTGAATTAGCTTGTTTTAAAATGCAATCTCTGAGCATTGCTAGAACTTTCAATAGCCACATGGACTGCCAGTTTGCAGGGCTGTGGTACAGGAAAAAGGCAGTAACCATCTCCATCACGTTTAGGAGAGTATGTAGAGCTTGGCTTCAGGACTGAAAGTTCTGTCAAAGCAAGACAGGAGATGGGCAACCTCAGGCTGTATGCTCCCGAGCCTTGTCTGTGCTAGCCACAGCACCACTGCTGATGGAAAACATCAATTATTCACAGCACCAGAGAGATGCCGAACACGTAGGCAATAAAAGACTACTCGGCATCATTTCCGAAATGTTGTTAAAAGCCTTAATTGGCTTCTCCTAATAAAAGGGTAATCCTGTAAGTTACCGAGCACCCACAACTAACACGCAATTTTCAGGCCCTTCATGACCTGCAAAACCCAGCACTTACATCATACTTAGAGGCAGATTTTTAAGCACGAACTTTTCTTACTCTTTAATACCACATCAGCACTCTGCATTCCTTCAGATTTGGCAGTCCAGTGTTACCAATGCCTCAGAGTGCTCTGCAAGGACAACATATGATCATGCTTCTGCTTTTACAGGTGGTGGCAGAGGTGGCATTTCTTGCTCAGCAAGAAATCTGAAGCAAGCAGACATCTGAATTTTGTGCTACTCTCTGCACAGCACTGCTTTTGCAGCCTTGCCTGGATCCCCTTCTCTTCCACAAGCAGATAAAATCCCAATTATGCTCATCTGGATACAAAAGCAACACACTCGGGCCTGGTAAACAGACATGAAAAGCATCTGGTTTCACTTCTTAGCTATTTCTGACAATGATTCAATGCAGCAGGGATCCTCCATAAGAAGGCTACCATCAGTCCTACCCCAACCACCTAGAAATTAAAATTTGTACAACACACTCTATGGAGAGAATCAAGAGATCTATGGATACAGAAACAGCTAAAGCGGAAATCTACAATCAAACCAAAATTTTATTTTCATCATATTTGTCCTGACTGCTAGCAAGTGAGGCCATTTTCACCACCATGCAGTTAAACTCAGGACCCTCAATAAGAACATTCAGGCTGTCTGAGGCACTGCACCCCTGCAGCTCTTGCAACTCAAGTAAAACCCACAAACTTCTCCTGGGGAAGAGCCTGGGTACAATTACTATTTTTTCTTTTGCAAAGGTGCCTAAATATTGACTTACTTAACTTCTTTAAGCCAAGCTTAAAATAATTTGATTGTGTTTTCCTAGTAAGGTACAGGTAACATCTGAATTTGAAATAATATTCCTCTTCAAGAGTTTCAGCACTTAGAATGATTTCATTAAAGAATCACAAAATACAAGGATTTTCATAACTTTGGCTTGGCGCTCTTCCCAGAGTACTAGTCTAAAAATAAAGTCCTTATAAGAAGATTTATCCCCAGTGCAGGGATTTTCTTCCTCTAATGGGGATTGTTCCTCCAATTCTGAGCCCGCTAAAATTCTGAAGTCTGTTACAAGAATAAATTGTTTCTGAAGCTGATTCATTTGTCCTAAATAATTCACACTATCGTCCTCCAGCAAAATTTTTTGACTTAATGAATGTAATCTGTCAGCTCCTAGAGAACCTCATTGTACAAATTGCCCTTGGAACTAAGTTTGGGGGTTTTTTTTAAAGAAAAATTGACTCCTCTTTAGTTAGTTAGTTTCAAAGAATATTTCCCTTATAGTTTCAATTCCAATCCAAGTCAGATTCACTGGTTTTCAACAGAATGTTCCACCTGGCAGTAACCAATGCATCTCAGTGGAAGCGCAGAGAATTCCCCAGCACTTCAGGAGCAAAGCACACCCTGGGGGATGCACCAGCCTCCGGACAAGTGCTATTGATTTATAACAGGCTCTGCACTGGGAACTAAAACTAGAATTTAGTATTGATCACATACAGTACAAATACATATGTAAAAAAAGAAAGCCCAACTAATTCCCAGAGCATAGCACAGGCTTAACTCTGCACCTCTTACTCAGGAAAGTAGCTCAAAAGAGTTCACCGAAACATCTTGCACAAAGTATTGTTCAGCAAGAAGAGACTGCAGAGTTGAACCTCACTTTCTGTTGACTTCAGTTCTTTGGAGACCATCCAGAACCACCATGACTGTGATAGGAAGAACAAGTTTCAAGATTTCCACTGATGGGAACAGTGCTAGTACCATCAGACAACAATGTAGTTAAAGGCACTGGACAGCACAAACTTCAGTGAAGCACAGTAGTGCCAAAGGCAGCAAGGAGCAGTTCTACATAATGCCAGGCCATATTGTATGCTGAAGACCACACAAGTAAAAGACACTTTGGTACAGTTTAGTCAGGCACAGCCAGCGGGGTCACTTCTGGGGGAAGAGACAAGGTCTGTGATGGTACTGGTATAGCCTGTAGACAAGTCAGTCACGCTCCATGGGAAAGCGGAGAGACACTGAAGCTGGTCAGAGCACTAGGGAGGGTTAAAGGAACATAGTGATGAGACTCAATGTCTGCACTTTTCTGCAGAGCCGAGGGGTGAGTGACTTGGTCTTTACGTAGCCCATAGATGCCACAAACCTCTTTGTCTCTACCCACCAGCAACCTCATTAACCATGCCTGACCAGAGCAGATAGAAGCATCCAACTCACTTGGTGTTCAGAATGAATCTTGTCCTGCAGGCCTATTACAGCCAAAATACAAGTGAAAAAGAAAGCCTATCACAAAGAGTACCCTCAAATTTTGAGGGAACTCAAATGTAAGGGAATGAGATTCCACAGGAAAAACTCTTCTTTCCACGTTTTTAATTAAGAGTAAACACTGTATATGGGTAATGCCTATACTGTTGTTATTTGGATATCTCCCCAGATGAAATTCTACAATATTTCACTTTTACCTGCTTTATTAGTGAAGGCATTCATTCTACACTTTCAAGATTCACTCTCATCTATGTTTCTTCACTTAATGAAGACCGGAACTTAGTCACTGTAGTAGAGCATCTGTTTTCATACCATACAAATGACAAACCTAAAACACCAAACTCTTACATTTGTACAGGCCTCTCAGGTGATTAGCGTTTTACTCACCAGAATGCAGAAAGTAGTTCCCCCACTGCTCACACTGATGATACACCTCACACTGTGCAATCTCATTTTCATGGTGAGGAAATGCAAGATCTATTCCACCAGTATGGATGTCCAGCTGCTTTCCAAACACTGCACTGTAACAATATTTTCCTGATCAGCAAGTAGAACACCACAAAAGCTTTTTGTAAAAGAAATGCAGAAAAGAATAAGATGAGACATCATAAATTGAAATGTACAATGTAACAATTGCAGTTTTAAAACAAGACTTTACACAGATCTTGGATACCAAAACCGCAGGAGAACTTGTATGGACAGGACCCATATCTGCCCACAATTAATTCTCCGTAGTAGGAGCAATTGTTTTTCTAACTTAGATTAAAGAATGGCAAGCAGGACAGCTCCTTTCCTTGTTCTGCTACAGTTCCAGTATCAGACAGCTGCCTTCATCTGCAAACCTAACAACTTCAAAGAGATGAATGTTTCCGTAAATTTGGTATTGCTATTCTTTATCTTGCACCTTTTCTGTAAGAATTCGGGCAATACTGTACACAGTCACGATAGAAAATGCTTAGTCCTATATTGCTATAATGCCATAAGTGTTGGTGCCTCTGATGTCTCAAGCCATTCCTCTCATCGCAACAGCACGGCTGCTTGTCTGCAGGTCATCCACAGGCTTGCCTGGCACAGCCCTCCCTGCAGGGACACTCAGGCTGGGGAAGATGCAAGGTCTACACAAGTAGAGAAGTAAAAGGATAAAAGGCAAGCCTCACACATGCGTGCACATGGGCATACACACAGACACAGACAGTCTTTCCGTATGTCACCTTAACAACTTGCTAGTGGTAGCTGGCTAGATATTAATGCTTTCGTCCCTTTTTGAGGGACACCCTGGCTCACGATGGCTCTGCAGAAGCACTTGGGGCACAGGAAGAAAAGAAAACAAGAAGGAAGGTGGGAAAAAAGACCAGCTGTTGCCATTTCCCAAGCTTGTACCCCTCTGCTTCCTCCTGTCTGCTCCAAAACCAGCTTAAGCACAGGTCTTCACAGGAATGGCCCTGGCTCACACCTCCCCTTGCGTCATCTACAGAGAAGCACTGGCCACTTGCTGTTTCCTCTAACAAAACCACTAAGAGCTGGGGAGAGGGGAAGAGACAGACCTCCAAAACGCTCAGGGGCGGAAGGAGCTGCCCATCTCACCGCAAAGGAAACTCCAGAGGAGAGATCAGACCTAAGCCACAGCAGGCGGTTCCCTCCTCTGGGGCTGCACGAGAGACCATTCGTTCACCTTCCCCAGGCACACTTCAAAGACTTTTCAAAATTCGTTCACCTAGCTTACTTAAAGTGCTTTGAGATCTTTGGCAGAACAGACAGGTAAGTAGCTATTGTTTAAAATGGGCCTTTTGACAGCTGACCAGGACAGCAAAACGTTTTAGGTAACTTCCCGAAATAAGCCCTCCATTTTTCACAGTCCAGGATTACTACACTTATGCTCTGCATGGGTCAACTCTTATTTACGTGGCAGGAGCTTCATCCAGCCACAGTAAAATAAGTTCTTGCAGACTATAAAGAGCACCACGTTAGCAGATAGGCCATTTGTAATGGGTTGCATTTCTTATCTCGAGTGCACTCCTGTCACAGGTTGCACTTCAAATACAGCATGTTTTTGTGCACTTCTGTTGCTTTAAGAACTGTTTCACAGTGATGAAACTATTTACAGACAGAAAATCACCTTTATAAATGCTTTTTGCAATCCAGTAGTAACGACTAACAATGGAGGTGCACCAGCAAAGCATATGAAAGAGAAACCTAAAGCACCTGTTCCATCTACTGTTGGCTTGGGTTGAAAACTCTCAAGTTAAACAGGGCTGGATCTAAATAATTTGTTATTAGCTTCCAAAAAAAGATCCGAGACTAATGCAAAACTAAGTACCACTATCAATCTTCCTGGAGAGAAGAGTTGGAGTCTCTTTTTTCAAAGCACAAATTAATAGGTCATAAGTTAATACAGTGCAGGACAAAATACTACCATCCTGTGGAGAAAATAAAACTCCAAATTAAGAGCAAATTAATTTAAACCAACTACACGCAAAATGCTACTATGCACAATTTGCATCGTGCCCACAGAATATACTGCCGCAGAGGAACCAGTGTATTTAATACTGTGGCTGACTTCAAGAAAGCTGAAAAACACTTAGATGATTAGCATGCATATCCACAACTGCTGTTAAGATAAGGCCAGCAAGATCTCATATGCTCACTGGTGTCGAGATGGAATTCCATACCCTGTCCTCCTGACACAGCACTACGTGCTGGACTAGCTCCAACGGAGACTGCAGGAAGCGGAAGGGAGGCAAATGAAAGAGGTACCATGACTTTCACAAAAAGTTTGTTTACTCAGTTCAAGTTAAAAGACTTGCTAATTAACTGTGTGATCTTGCACATCATATTTTAAATACCCAAGTCTGCCTCAAAAGAAGGTGCCAAAACATAGCAAGACAGCTATGCCAGTGAGGCACAGCAGAGTTTGTTTGGGCTACATGTGACATCCCAAATTGCACCAAGTATTCACATTAAAACTGGTGCTTTCTACTGATTAGAAATAACACTTTCAATACTGCTGCTACTATTGTACTGGGACTGAAAACAAAAAACAGCACTAGATTTAAAATCCAAGAAATCTGACCTTGATATTGTGGAACACTCAATGTGCCATCCAGGTCTTCCTTTTCCCCAGGGAGAAGTCCAAGATATCTCTTGAGGTTTGGCAGCCTTCCACAGGGCAAAGTCTTTACCATGTCTTTTATCAGTATCAACTGCCAAGAATAAAGCGATTTGTTAATGGGATATGTCTTAAAGAAAAAAAAATAAAAAACGAGTAAATGAATGCAAGTGGAAATGTATGTTTAGTGAATTACTCAGATTTTAATCTCCTTCACTCAAATTCTTTTCCTGCAACTTTCTTCCCTTCCCTCCTTACACAGGGCTTCTAGTTTCTCAAATCAAGCATTTGAAAAAATATGTTGAATTAGAATTCTGCAGGCTAAAAAGATGGATTCAAGATTCTTTAACACATCCTATCCTTTTAGTCCTTTTGGCCTTCTCTGGTTTAACATCATTCATTTAGTTACTCATTACCAAGTTTTCCCAGGACAAATAGATTGCACCGCAACACAAAAGGTAACAAAAACAACCCAAAAAAACCACCCCACAACTTCTTCTCTGGGACACAAACAGTTTCTGGTTCAGATTCTATAAAACCAAGAAGAGAATCAAAACTACTCTTGGACAGTAGCAACCTTCCAGTATCGTCTTCACCAATGGCCGCTCTGCAAAGGTCTCCTCCCCAGCTAGAGTTGTTGCTTCCTATCACCACACGGCCAAGGATGTAGTCTTTTTTGCCACAGTACTGGAGAGAATGGTTCATCTCTGCTGGCCCCTTACCCCCAGTCGGATACACATCGCTCCCCAGCTGGAGCTACAGAACAGGGTTCTGGGCTCCACATTTTTTTGCTGACAAATCCATCACCTCACATTTGACCGGTGTGGAACAATATACCTATTTGTCTTGAAGGGATCCAGCTTGGCAAGCAACTTGCACTGTTTTAAGTTCCTCTTATTTAACACCACTCATCTGTTTTATCAGCCGTTGGCGCTAAATTTACTTCTTTCCTCTGCTTATTTCAGATCACTAACAAAACCACAGTGTATTACTGGGTCTGGAGCATTCCAGTATCAACACGTTTTAATGATGATTCACAGCTATTTTTGGAGACCTATTAGATGGTCATTTTTCTTGAGCCATTCTGCTTGTACTTTATTGATATTATACAAAGTCAGTTTTTGTTCAGAACATCATGCAATATTAAGGGAAGCACATTACAAAAATCCATTACACCTGCCTCATCATTCAAAATGGATGAGAAATAAAGGGACAGAAATATAAGCCTAGTTTTATCCACTGAAACACAGAATCGGTCATGGGTGGGGCTGGAAGGCACCTCGAATGGTCAAGTCCAACCCCCTGCTCAGAGCAGGTTCAGCTACAGCAGACTGCCCAGGACAGCGTCCAGCCAGGTTTTGACTGTCTCCAAGGATGGAGACTCCCCAGCCTCTCTGGTCAACATGTTCTTGTGTTAGCCATCCTCAGAGTAAAAAGGGTTTTATTAGGTTTAAATAGAATTTCCTGCGTTTCAGGTTGTGCCCACTGGCTCTTGTCCTGTCACCAAGGACCACTGAGAAGACTCTGGCTCCATCTTCTTTATTCCCCCAATCAGGTATTTGTACACATGGGTAACATAGCTCTGAGCCTTGTCTTCTGCAGGCTGAGCAGTCCCACATAGCTCTCTCAGCCTTTTCTCATAGGAAAGATGCTCCAGTACCTCCATCGTATTCATGGCCCTTTGCTGGGCTCTCTCCAGTATGTCCATGTCTCTCTTGTAACGGGGAGCCCAGCACTGGACCCAGTACACCAGGCATGTCTCACCAGTGTTGAGCAGAGAAGAAGGATCACCTCCCTTGGTCTGCTGGCAATGCTCTTCCCACTGCAGCCCAAGAGGCTATTGGCTGCCTTTGCAGTCAGTAACTGGCTCTAAATAACCATTGACAAAACGCATTCCCTCTGTGAGTTGTAATGCTGAAACAACTCCAGAGTGGAGCTGTGAGAAGTTTCTGGCTGCAATTCACCTGAGCATCAGCCTGCCAGGCATTTTCAGTAATTGCAAACAGATTTTTTCAATGAAGAAATAATGAATTTCAGCCCACAAAAGGATGCAGGAGATCTGCATGAAATTCTCCAATGCAGAGGCCTGATCAGACCCAACTTACAGAAGCTACAGAGGCTCAGCAATCCTGCTCAGCCACCAGACAACTGCAGCAAAAACACACAGCCCAGGGTATAGGCATGCTTTACCACAGCCTACGAAGAGGTTGCTCACCCTCACACAAATAGGCTGCTTGGCAGTAGGCTGGTGGTAATTCATCCAGTTAGCGTGCATCAGAGGAACGCAACTGCCCCAACAATAATACGGTAGATGATGTTTCCCTGCATTTACCCTGGACTATCTCTACTGCTTGCTAGTGCAACGGCTGAGACCACCACCTCACTATGAAGTCTGTATGTGCCACTCCCAAGTATTTAAACAAAGTTGATTAAGAATCCTAATTGTTCTAAGGTACCGGAACAAAGGTCTAGAGGGAACCAAGCGTGAAAAGAGACCATCAAGTTTCCTCTTGCACTGGCAACAGCAAGAGCCTCAATAAGTAATTACAAAACCCATGTAACCTCAATTAACTGAAAAGTTGGCTATACACAACAGGTTAGAAAACCCTTTCAGACTGTTGAATGAAAGTTTATGCATAGATACATCATGAGTTCAAACAATACATTAATACAAACAAGTTGGTGCCATGAACTTACCTGTTTCATCTTGGGTATCAGGATAAATAGTAGTTAATACTCCGTATCTTTTTCCCCAAGACTTAACATCAAAATAAACATTGCCTAATAGAAAAGAAATGTTTAGTTTTATAGCATAGGTGGGGCACACTCAAGATGGGGAGATAACATTTCTCTGAAAGCAAGACAGAACAAAATGCCCTTCAACTCCCATTTTAAATTCTGATTTAGAAATTCAGAAATACTGCAAAAGTAGCAGCAGATGTTTCCACGTTACCAGCTTTTCAGTAACCTCACTGCATGTGCTCATTCTGCACATGGGATAACTCTGTATTCTGAAGATCTCACCAGGTTCTTCCCTGCCCATGCACAATCAGCAATCCCTCCCTGACACCAGTGCAGCCTACTGCTACTCCAGTTATAATGCACTGGAAATCCTTCTACAACCACCAGCTCTCCTAAAAAAGAAGTCCACACATTGTGCTTTGCAGGCACATCTTTTACAGCACATACCCACTGCCTGTTTAGAGCTAAGAGGTTCCCCCAGCTCTCTTGTAGAAGCCAGGCCAGGCCTTACCCACAGGAGCTCAGATAGCAGTTCATTACAGTAAACAATTATATTAAATAATGAGCTACATTTAACTTAGAAATTGAGCAGGAGTTGTTCTGCCTGCTCATGTGGCCACAAACGAGTTGTTCTCAACCCATCTGTTAATCAACAGAAGGAAAGCCTGGCACAGGGTATCTCATCTGATCCCAAAACAGGATTACTAAGAGCACTGATTTCCTGTGCAAGTGCTGAAGAAGGAGTTACCTTGCTGTAAGTCTTACCTTGCGAGGTTGAATAAGCTTGTCCACTAGCAATTATTGTTTTTATAAAGGAAATTATCTGAGGAATATTGTCAGTCACTCTCATATATACTGTAGGAGGAAGGACCTTAAACAAAGAAAGAGTAACATCTCATTAGCCTGCATGAAACACACTGCTGACAAGTCCCTTCACTGTAAGAAACAAATTTTAAAGAACATTCTCCTCAATTTTATCTTTAAAAAAAAAAATGCTGCAAGTATCATAAAAAGGTCATAAGCAGCATTTAAGATAATACACACACACAAAAACTGAGGGGTGGCAAAAAGAATCCACTAATTTTTCCCCATGGTTTAGTCCCTGCTTCTGACAAGTATTTGGGAGAAGAAGCAAAGACACCTGAAGTCAAGAAAAGAATATTTGATGTTTCATATGCTTTAGATCAGGCTATTTCTGCATTATAGTAAACGTGTATTATCTGTGAACCAAAGCACTACTGCACAGGGCAAAAAAAAAAAAAAAAAAAGCATTCCTAAAGAAATTTAACTTGTTCATTCCAAATCTAGAGCCTGCTTCTTCCCCCCATTTCCTCACTCAAAAGGTGTGCAATATCCTCCCAGCAGAATGCAAAAGTAAATCAGTACTCAGTTTCCAAGCAACGCTGTCACATAAGCAATCAATTTATTTTTTCAGATCAAACTGCCAAAAATCAGATTCCTCACCAAAACAATTGCTTTAAAATACTCTTAAATTTAGAAGCTCAAGTAGCTGTACCTTTAAGGCAGCCATATCTTGTTTAAAGTCTTCTTCATAAATACGAGCAAGAGCTACTGGCGATATATTCATCTGAAAAATAGAGAAGCATCTTAGTAAATCATAAATCAAAGTAATAATATAAAATATTGCAATCTTCTATCAGACTTAATAGCTAATTGGAAGACTTACAGAGCCCCCAAGGTAAAGAGTCAGAAAGGCTTATTAATCTAACATTCATGGGGAAGAGATGCAAGTTATAAATAACTTAGAAGTAGTATTTCATTTATGCTTCTGCATTGCCAAAACATTAATACGTATCTTTTAAGATAAAGAAACCAAAGATTAAAATAACAAAATCCTTCCCTCCCCCATTATTTTTCTCAAGAGGGTCTTCCATTTCCAGCAACAAGATATACTACAGTACACAGGACATGAAAGTTATTCAATTTATCGGCAAGGGACACCAATACCACCTACACATCAGAAAGGCAGATCAGAAACTTGCAGGATGAGACAGGATATTAACTTTCAGCGATTAAGAAAAATAAGCTATTACAGCTGATCATGGTTACTCATAGATCTCAGAAGTAATGAGAAAGTGCAACCTAAACAGAAAGAGGCAATTTGCACATGACATGACACTGGTCTCAAACATTCAGAAGAGGCCAGGGCTTGAAAGATGCATGATAGCTAAACCTACCCTAGCAAGCAAAAGTATGGCATCAAAGCGTTTCAAATTCGAGCTTTTAAACCTTCTATGAGGAGAACCTACTGGGGAGAAGACACTATCCTGTCACTCTCTCCAGCTTGCAGATAACTGAATCACTAAAAAAAAAAAAAAAAATCCAGTTTCATCACTTCCAATTCATTACTGGAGCATCTTTAAGGGGTCTGATTTTCAGAGTGCAGGTGGGTACCACTATTTGGACAAGCTCTTGGACAAGGCAGGAGTTCTGATGAAGACACACCAGAGGCTCACCCAGCAATGAAAGGAGGAAGATGCTCAGCACTGAGAAATGAAGGCGTGTGTCTGCCTAGAGATCAGAGAGAGTGCTCTTCCAGTCCTCAGCAATGGGACTTGTCTCCCTAGAGAGCCTAGCTGCTGCTTCAATCAACAGACAGACAAAGGTGCTTATAGGAGGAAGATGGGGAAATTCTTCCCATCCAGGTGGGTGTTCAAAACACAAAGAGACTCATCTCTCTCTCTCAAAGGACCAGAGGGCATGTAGCACGCTCGTAATAGACTAGATGCCCAACTTTCACGTTTTCTCTAGATGAATCCCACCAAAGGGATGGAGAACAAGCTTAGGCATGTTGATCCTACCATTGTAATGCTTCACACATAGAGGTCCAAACAACAAAATCAGGCTACTGAGGTAGAGGTCTTGGACATCCAAACAAAATGCGCAGAGCAAAGCAGGCATTTCAAAAAGTCACAAAAAAAATGAAGCCATAAAAAGACTACTTCATAGAACCACAGAAAGCCACAAATGAACACAAACTTTTAAAACATGATGTCATTTCCCCCTCCTCAAACATAAAATTTCCATAATGTTCTGACAATAAGGAAAAATTTTAAAATGTACACATAATAGATTTTAAATGCCTGGGATGGGCAGGGGGGTGCTGTGTTTGGGTTTTTGTTTGGTTTGGGTTTGTTGGCTTTGGCAGGGTTTTTTTGATTGTTTGTTTTTTTGTTGGTTGGTTTGTTTGTTTTTTTAAGATGGCCTACTGCCTTGGAAAACTGCAAGTAAATGGACTAAAGGAAGACACGTGTATTTCTACAGGAGCAGCATGCTAGTATTTGTTTGAATGAGTGCCCTGCATTTAACTGCAATAGTAACTGTTTACTTAAAGATTAAATAAGAGTGACAGCTGTCAAATTCTCTGGCTACAAGAACCCAGCTTAAAGCTTGCAACTGCAATTTGATCCAACACATTCATTTATGATCCAGAAGACATGAGTTACGGATTCTAAAAACAAAACAAGAAGTTCAAAATGCAGAATAAAACACAGAATACATTCTTAGCCTTTCAGGGTCCAAAAAGCATTAAAAAAAAAAATTAATTGGACTAATCACTCACCAAGCTCAGCTGCTAAAAAAGTTCTGATTAAAATCCAACTAAGAACCACTTATAGCCCCAGTCTTATCAAGACTTACCCCTACACTCAATGTCAACTTTCATGTAGGTGACAATCTCGGACAAGACTGATAAAGCTTCCCAAGGCGCTGACATTGCAGCTAGATGGTGCTCGGCACCTTTCGGGAACCACCCTCAGCCTCACGTGTGGCAATGCTACATGTACTACTTTCAACCACTGACGGCACACAACGCTTCTCCAGAACACAGCCAGAAGCTTACTGACTGCTAAGTTTTGGGTTGCTTTTGGGATAAGATACTTCTCCAACTGTGCTGAGGATTCACCCCAGCTTTTTGTACCCCGCTGGCCTCCCCAGGCAAGGGTGAAGGCAGGAGGATCCCAACCGCAGGTGCTGCAACGCAGCCCTTCCCACCTCTCCCCCTCACACAACTCTGCTCCCATTTACCCCCACGCAGCTCACAACGCCCAGCCCTCTGGACTCCCAGACCCATTACAGTCATGCTAGGGGACCAGAAATCTCAACATTTATTATCTACTAATTAAAACAAAACTCAAGGGGAAAAAAAACACCCCACAAAAACACAAACCAGGTTAATTTCCCTATGTAAGTAGCTGTAGAAAATACCAAAAGTTTGGGTCAAAGACTGCAGCAAACACCTACCTCATTGGCTCTTTTTATTATCTTGTCATCTATGTCTGTGATCCCCATCACCATAACAACTTCAATTCCAAAAAACCTAGTCATTATCCTTCGAATTATATCAAACCTCACATAGGAGCTGGAAGAGGAAAAAAAACAAAACATGAGCATTTAAACATGCAGGAGTAAGAATAAACAAAAGTAACCAACAGCACTAACAGCCACAGGGACAACCTAAATATCCCAGGACTTGCAATGAAAAGGTCTTTGGTGCATGAAGTGCTTTTCCAAAACCAGTTACCACCTGCACAAAAGTCAAGCAAATTTCCCTTGAACTGGCCTACCCTCTTCTGGCATTAGTGACACATTACATCAAATTTTCTGAGCGTTTTCTTTCGTTGCATCTCTTTATTCAAGCACCGAAGCGCGTCAGAAGCTACGTGTGAGCCAGAAGACTCTCCAAGCAAAGAACAGTATGAACAGACACACAGATCAGATATTCTTGTAATACATCCCTCGGGCTTTGTATATTCTAGCAGGTTTCCAAAAGCCGCTGGGCAGAAGAACAGGGAGAAATAAAACAGGGTTCAAATGAACTTTGCTTAGGGTAGAGTAACAACTACAGCTACCAGCCACCAATACACCATTTCACTTGCACACCACCACAGATCTTCTCCAGTAGCAAAGAGCAGCTGCTCTGGGGGTTATTTTGTTTTATTTACACTTCAGAATAAGTTTTCCAAATTATTCAGGCTCTTCACCCCAAAACAGAGCATTTAATGCTGATGGATTGATGTACCTACAAGCTGTACAGAGCTGCGACAGCCCCTTCTGCCGCTCACAGACTCTCCATTCGTAATTCTCAAAACACGCTTTGACTGAGTAAAATCTAATTATTAGGTGAGATATTAGAGGGTTAGTCACCTAGGCCCTGGGTCTGCCCTGCAAGGTGATGAGAACCCTCAGCCTGCACTGGCTTGGGAGAAAACGGAGCCCGAAAGGAGACTCACAGACCTACAGGTTCCCATTTCACCCACAGGACCACACAAACTATAGCTCCCGCGGCTGTCAGAGACAAGAAGTGTAAGCAAATACTGGAAATGGATTTGCATTCTTCCCCTTAGCTGCAGGGACCGGGTGGCATGAAGGTTCAGATTTACAGATGTGTAGCATCTTGATGAAAAAAAATACTTTTTCTTCTCATTGTTTGCACTACGCCCACATTTCAAAACATGTTTTGAAAGATGGCACATGCTGACAGGGAGGTTGTTTTTAACGAATACCGGCTCACTGGGAGTAATGTTCATCTAACGTGGTGGCATGATTCCATAAGAATATTAGATTGGCCTTAGGACCCCATGCAGAGGAGCAATGCCAGCATCAAAAGCTTGATATCAGATTTAACAGCCCTGCAGTCCTAGTTGCCCAGAACAGACACAAATTTTGCACTGTTCCCTCTCCTCTGATCTTCCAACTGAATTGATGGATGAAACACTGCAAGAGCCAGAGCAGATGTCCCGACACCTCAGACAGCAGGGTCCTTACCACTGCAGGACTGAAAAGAAAAAAAAAAAAAAAAGAAACAGACAGTCAAACTCAGGGGAGTGGCAGAGCAGGCACAAGGGACTGAATGAAATCTCCCCTTGTGCTTGGGTTTACTCTTCTTTCCAAGCATTCAGCCAGGAACCTGGATGCCAACCAGGCTGCATGTCACATCAGCATGATCAAGGACAGTCTCAGAACTGAGGGAAAAGATGACATGATCTGCCGGTCTGATTTTTTTTCTTTATACAGAATAGGTTTTGGATACTGTATCAAGGCACACAGAGCACCTGTTTTGAAGTCTGGAAGCACACCTCACTAGAGAAAGTCGGATTACTTAGAGAAATAAGAAATCCTTATGGAGGAGAAGGAGGAAGGGAGGAGAATAATAATAATGCCATCATTTTCAAATTCTTCTCAAGGATCTCAAGCTCACTTCCATTATTCATTTCTGCATTATTACCTGCCATGTTTGTTGTGCCTGCCACAAGTCAAATGTAGAAAGAAGGGAAATAAAGGAATTCTAATTCCAAGACAACATGTTACAAGAGTGCAACAAAACAATGGTATTTTACAAGAGCGGTGAGGTAGCAACAGCCATCACGCCATTTGATTTCATGCTCTTTCCCAGCATGTTTCCTGGCCTGTAGACCCCCATCAGCAGCATGCATTTCAGCTGTGCCTTCAGAATCTGTACAAATGGACCTAGCTACTCGGGGGGGGGAGCAATTAAAAAAAAAATAAAGAAAGAAAATCAAGAGTGCTCCACCATCCGGAACAAGTCAGCTGAGCAACAGGATGCCAACACCGAGAGGTGCAAGACCACAGACACTGGCAAGCAACGGCCAAATCCTCACATGCTGGAGGGTTTAACCGATCAGAAGAGGAGGAGGAAGGTCTTTGGTGCAGGCGTCTTGCCGCACAACAGCGGTACAGGAACACGCGAAGGCGCTAAAGAGGCAGCAGAAAGAGTAACACAGACACTTATCTGCATGATGCACGGCTCTGAAGGCAGTTTTTGGCCCTAACTGTTCTTTCTTAAATCAGCAAGTAAAGCGGTCAAACCCAGGTGGCCCAGACGTACGGCAAACCTCCACATCAGGACAGCTTGAAATTGTTCATTTAGACATAGGATAAGAAGAGATGGGTAAGAGAACAGGCCAAGCGAGCAAGGCCTTCCTAACTCCCTCCTTTAATCAAAAGAGCTCGAAGGCAGGACAACAAGGAGAACCACTGACAAAAACACTCATTCAAAAGGCAGAGAGCGGCAAGACCAAAAGGTGAAATTCTCCACCTCTATAAACATTGTGCTCTACGTCCACTATACCCCTTAGGACGGGAGCACTTCTGCAATTCCCTCCCCTCTTACACCACATAGGGAAGGCAGGCCCTACCGTACTAGAGAATTTGGGCTGAGCAATGAAAAAAATAAGTTTATTAGCACCTTTCTATACAGCTGCTCTCAAGTGATGATTTCCAACTGTAATTATTTCAAGGTAAACTGTAACACAGCCCATATTACAATAACTGTAGATTCGAATACACAAATTGCTTTGACTTCTTTCTTTTTAAATATTAAAGTTCCCCTGAAGATACTAAGTACAAACAAAATAATTCAAGATACCATTTTCTTCATTTTTTTAGATCAGCAGTAAAAAGACAGGTTAGTTTTCTGCTAAGACTGGGCAAAAGCAAGGAGGAAAAAGACACCACCACATACACATCAACCGTATAGCTGCATTTAAGGAGAGGTTACCAGCTGTATTTTTACGTGACTGGTACTTCAAAACTTCCCTTTTACAGAGAGAAGGCACAGTTATGCAGTACTGTGACAGCTCAACATTGAGCAAAAATTCAACACGAGTTTCTGAACGAAGTCTAGACTGGACCAGAAGCTGCGACATGCCCTACATCAAGAGGGAATTACTCAAATACACAGAGTTTGATCTTCACACAGACAGCAGTTATCCAAGAAACCCCTGCTCTTCCAAGGAGCCCAATGCATCTTGTTCTTTTAAGACTTCACGGACGGGAGCTCAAGAGCAGCTGAAGCTGCCACGACTCCCACCAGCTTCACAGGAACCTGCAGGCAACCCCACATGTCTTCTCATCGGGTGCACTGTTTGAGAACAGCCAGCAGCAACCTGCCCTGGTGCATTTTAAGTATTTTTTTTCCCCCCAAGATATCTTACAACAAAGCAGGTTCATTATTCTAATTATCCTAAAGATCTACGGACAATACGCTGTGCTGTTTTGGTCTCCTTTTCTTTCTTTTTAAACGCAGTAAGCCACTGTTACTATGCAAGGACACCTTTAAGCTACCTGAGCTTCCTGAGGTTTAAGAATGGATGATTCTACCTGTTAACCTTAAAAGCATCTTTTAGTAGTCAAACAACCCTGGACGGTTTTTCCTTGGTGCTGACACAGCGTCCCAACAAAACCGGAGACAGAAGCGCCCTGTCGCTGGGCCGAGGGTCTGTGCTCCGGGATTCCAACTCCCTTGCGCAAGAGGTCACGACATCGCGACGGGATTTGAAAATAACTCGCCCTGCCCAGCAAGAAAGCGTGCGTTCTCAGTACTTTTCACCCCACAATCGCCCCTTTCTGCACGACGGGCTGAAGCAACAGCCCCTTCCGCGCTTCCCGCGGCGGGAGGGGGGAACCACGCAGGGGCCTGTCACCCGGACACACGCTGCCCGCTACCGCAGTTCCCACCCGCGCCGTGCCCACGCAGGCTGGCACATCGACATCCACG